CGCGCAGCTGGCTTCTTGGGGAGAGGAAAAAAAAGCACCGTGTGTACTGAGAGACCTGACAAAGCAGCAACTTGTCCGGCTGTATCCCTGTAAAGTACAGGGCGAGAAAATGAACTGCTGAATGAAAATGCGTGTTCAGCATTCGTGTGCAGGTCTTGGTTGTCCTGTCACTAGAAACTTTCCCTGTGGGTTCAGTCGTGGTGTAAACTTGATCCCACTGCGTGTTCACTGTGCTCCTACAGCTTTGTGTTGTATTTTTTTTCCCTCTGCAAGGAAGGGAATTTTTCTGCCTCTGTGCAAGGAAGAAATTGCACTGTAAATTAAAACTTGCTCAACAGTTGGAACTGTTGCATACCTACAGCAGTGCAGTTGTATACAGAGGTTATAACTTACACAGGGTCTTACTCCTGGTGAACAATAAGCACTATGACATATAACTTATTGAAAAGAGCAAACTAGTCGGTAAAAATGGCTTGCATGATTTCCTGTAAGGAAAAGTCTAATGTTTGGAGGGAAAAAAGCCAACAAAACAACAAATCAATTCCAAGAACAAAACAGGCCATGTTAAAATGAATTAGTTAAACCTAGGGACTTGCCAAAAAAAAAAAAAAGCAAGGGGATAGAGATACCCACTGCTTTCACTGCTAAAATTATTACCAGTTTGGTTTTGTGAAGAATTCCTCTCAGCTGTGTGTGTTACGTGTGGTATTCTAAGTACTTGTTAAAATTCAGGCATGTTACTCATCCAGTCTTGTCTAAAGAATTTGCATTTGCAGTTGGAGCATACCTCAGAATGAGAGGAGAACCTTACTATGGAACTGTCTTGCAATCTGCTATAGTTCAATGCTAGGACAGACAGAAATTGAGAGAAAATACTTAAAATTTGTAAATATACCAGAATTTCAAGGGAGATTTTTTTGATACCCAGGTTTGGTTTTAAGGATTGATGCCAGTGCTTTATATTTGATCTAAAAAACTATGAACAGTGAAATATATCTTTTGGTTTTAAGGATTGATGCCAATACTTTATATTTGCTCTAAAAAACTATGAACAGTGAAATATATCATATGCTGGACTTCCAGAAAGAAATGTTCCCCTCCCAACTTGTATTTCTAATGTGCCAGTATAATCTGTGGAACAGGCAATGAAAGAAGCAATTGAACTCTGAAGGGCAGTAGCAGTAGCTTTTTGTAGCACAGTGTCAAAAGTGATAATTCTGTAAATTCTGTAATCCGTAAGAGGTTGGACCATATGAGAAAATAGGTGTGATAAAGGCAAAAACATATTCCCATGGATTCTCGTCAAACATGCTCACAAAACTTGGCGGTGTGTGTTGATACACAGTTTTAAATCTGAGGGAAAGGCTGTTAGAGGGAATATACTATTTTCCATTGCTTTGAGCTTTGTCTTTAAAAATATTGTGATTTTTATGAAACAGGGAATCTCTTACTATTGGTGTGCTGTTAACCCTGAGATGCTGCTCGAAGTAGTGCCTTCCTGTGAGGAAAAGCTTTGCATGCATAGATAATGTTTCTCCTGAAGAAATTAAGTCTAATTTACTACAGCTCACTTCACCTTCATTGGTATTGAGAATTTTTTTTAATTCTTTCTTAGGCATATCTCAAAGCAGAGAAATCTTAGCAATGCTAGGTTAATGTTATATTAGAGAAGCTTGAAAACCTTCAGGTCTCACAAAGGCTTTGTGTGCGGGAGGTATCGGACACAAGGAGTTGCACTGATGTATGTCAGACTTTGAAATGAAACAGTGCAGCTTAGCTGTTCAGACACCGCTTATGTAATGGAACGATGTTGTGTATTGTGTAATTAAGGGAAAGGTCATGGCATTTCATGTTTATGAAGATACTTCATACCAGTTTTTCTACAGCAAGGCATGTAGACTTAATCATCGGATTCAGATCTATCCTGTAATTAGTGGCTTTAGTAATAGCTACTGAGAATGTACATCAAGGTAAATGACAGCAGGACTTGATCAATTTTGGATTACTCTTTGAAACAGTTCTGCTTTTTTTGACACCTTGCAATTTTACATCCTGTTAGTACAGCCTTGGTTCATTAGCAAAATTGATGTGTCTTCTTCAGATGAGGCTGTCCATATATTGGCACCCTAGCATGCGTGTATAGTGTTAGTACCACACAAATTTAAGTTCTAGCAACATTTCTTAAGCAGTTCTGTCACTTTAACACTATCAAACCTGACCACAATTTTGAACTCTGCTGCTGAGAGATGCTAATAATTGTAAACTTTTTTCCTCTGCTTTTTTTTTTCTGTGGACATCTGTATACTTCTCCTCTGGGTGCCTTTGCAGAAATGAAGAATTAGGTTTCATGCTGCTGTCAGGCCATGCAGGGTGACTACTCCAGAGAATTGGGAATAATGCTAGTGCCTCTTGTGACAGTTGAGACTCTCATGAATTGGGAGGGAGAAGGGGATTTGTTTTGTCCATTGCGCCCTCCCCCCCCCACCAAAAGGTAGTTATCTGAGGATTTAGCTTAACAAGATTAATGATTTACTTTCATTATAAAATTAGTGTCCTGTCCATACATGCAAAAAAGTCTAGATGCTTGAAGTGACTGCGATTCAAGCTGTCAAGCCTATTAGAGGGTAAGCTTCACTTTGGTATTGTATAGTTTTTCTATACTGCTGAAGGTGTTTCAGCGTGACTGTTCTCGCTGGTGTTAGGCCTATTCATGGTAACCTGATGATGCTGAAAATGTGATTAAAGGTATGTAAATGAATGGGTTTTTCTTTTCAGCACTGGACGTATTGCGGCCGTGCGTCTCAGCGCAGCTGTTGATGGATTTAAGTCACATTTGGTCTTCAAAGAGATTGAAAAGAAGCTTGAGGAGGTACTTGACTACTTTTACCTGTAACAGGATTTTAATTTATGACAGAACATGTGTGAAACCTGATGGGAATATAGTAACATCAATCACTTCCTCAGTATTGCTGATTGAAACAGATGTCACAACTTTGAATATCGCTCTGTTTCTGTGCAGTGCCATTATATTATTTTTTTTCAGACAGTTCCTACCTGCATAAGGGTATTTCAGTAAAGGCAAGTGTAGATTGTGCAAGAGGAGTTTGCTAACTAACACAAGAAACTTTACATTTGTGTTTGGTGTTTGTTGCTTGCTTTGTAACAGTGATTAGAAGTAGTAGTTGTGTTTTGCCAGACTTGCACCAACACAAGACTGTCATGACCGTGGTAATTTTTTTAGTTGTCAGATTTTAATATAGATAGTCGCAGTTTGTGGGTTTTGGTTTTTTTTTTTTTTAAATGGTTGTTTAAAAGAAAGCTATTAGAGGGAAATAGATATTTCAATGTTAGTAGAAAGGGTAAAGGTTTTAAAATTCCTTTCTGTTTAATTCAAACTATCTTAAAATTCTTTTGAGGTAAATGAATAATTTGCACATTACATGGTCATTACAGGAAGGAGAGCAATTTGTCAAGAAAATTGGTGGAATCTTTGCCTTCAAAATAAAGGATGGTCCTGGTGGGAAAGAAGCAACTTGGGTAGTAGATGTGAAAAATGGTAAAGGCTCTGTGGCAGTTAATTCAGGTCAGTGCTATTTTATTACATCATTGCAAAAAACACATAAAACTAATGAAAATATTAAAAATTCATGTTCTGTTTAAGCTATAGTGACCTTGCGCAGAAGTGGTATAGAGCTACCTTAATGTTAAACTTTTCTTATTACTGACACTTTTAATACGTGATGTTTTGGACCAAGAATTAAACATTTTCTATTGTGAATTCTGTCTAGATAATTGCATGTTTCCTTAGAGGCTTCAGACAGATCTGTCATATGACTTTTACAGGAATCAGAATTTAAAAAAATATATATGTATTTCAAACCTCAGGGGTTTTTGTTGTACTCTTCTCTTAAAATTTGAGCCAGAGTTGTAATTTGTAGCTGTTTCTTCAGTTGCTTTGTTGGGAGACACTGGTAGGTGGTAGCTGGTCTGTCTCATCAAGTTACTTCTCTGCAGCTAGTTAAGCAATAAAACTTGAATGATTTCAATACTGCACCCGCTGACAAAAACTTCAGTTTCCATTTTAAAAAAGGCAGACATAAATAAGACACAGACTATGTGGTGGTGGGGAACCCCATGAAAGTATTGGAAACAAAGGATTTGTAATCTTGCCATGAAAATGTCTCGTCTCAGAACTGAAGTAATGCATCCTAGTAACGTAAATAAAAAGCCAAAGACAACAGTCTGTCCTCAGAATTTCATATACCCATGGAACTGTATCATAAAGCTTTTAATTAAAAACATGGCGGGATTTAATTTGGAATTAATTGATCTAAGTTATTACAAAAAGAAAAGCACTGTTTTCTGTTCTATGGACAGCATTTTGTCAAAGACTGTAGGAAAAGATGTGTGCAGTTTTTAGCCCTTTGGTATATTCATTAATGTATCTATTGGAGCTTATTAAAATAATTTTTTCAGCTTATTTCTAGTAAGATCCTAAAAACCGGTGGGTTTGAATTAGTTCCATTGAGTGCTTTTAGAATGCACATGTTCCCATCGAAGGAGAGGGCAGGAAATGCCTGAAATTTCAGTGATTAATATCTTCAGAGTGTCACAGGGGAAAATACGTTTTTTTCTGAGTTGATCTTAATACTAGCAAATTTAAGCTTGATAAAACTTAAGACATTTGTCAATGCTTGTAATTAACATTGTCTCATTACAAGTAGATTATTATTTCTTTCCAAGGAATGAATTTCCTTAGCACCTTTCAGAAAGGTCCATCTTTCTTCAGTGTTGGGATGGTCTGTGCTACAGGGTGGCGCGGATGCCTGTTGGCTGTTGGGTGATCTTTTGTTGCTATTTTTATAATGGCACTTATTTGTATGTACTTCAGGTACTATATTGCTAACCTGTAGTATTGACAGATTCTTCATGGAGTTGCATTTTCTGTTACTGTGTCATCCCTCAGTTTGAGTTTTCATAGTCAGCTCTTACCTTACAGATAAGAAGGCGGATTGTACAATTACAATGGCGGACAGTGATCTGTTAGCACTCATGACTGGCAAAATGAATCCTCAGACAGTAAGTAGAGCAAAGATGAAATAGTAAGAGGACTGACTTGGGTTTTTTGAGTGTGTTTAAGTTGAAATCATTTAAATAAATCCCCTCCTCCAAAGCTGCCGTGGACGATCTGAAAAGTGACAGTTCTTGACTTTCTCTGAACAAATTGGCCAAAGTAAGATTAATAAAGAAAGACAGTATCTGCTCTTCTGAATAGGTACATATTATCTCGGACATACTGTAGGTGGCCCAGAAGGGGATATAATAGTGCTTGTTTTGCAGAGAAGAAGGGGAAACTAGCATTTGCAGTGTGACTTAAGAAAGGAGGAATGTTGGCCCTCTCTTTGGAGGGCTTTAAGCTCATAGCTGGCATTAGCATAAGGAGTAATCTTGATGCTGAAAAGTGGAAATTCCGGTGGGCATCCACTGAATGCCTGTGATAATTTTGTGATTTTTATTCCTCAGTGTGTCAAAAGCAGCCATAGTGTACAAGTAAACCAGATGTTTAAGTTCATTTTAAGTTGTTTTTTCATACTTCTAAATTTGAAGTGCTCTGCATAACACTTTTTAAAGGTTTTTGGTCTGGTAATGACAAGGTAAATAAGAGTTTTCACAAACTGAAGTGTGTCTTGGAGAAGTTTGAAAGTAAAGCATATTACAGAAAGGTAGCATACATGTCGGAAATTCAGAAGCGATTACAATTTTACATCTACAATTTGGGTATTGTAGTGCATGCAGTTCATCTTTTTACGAGGTCTGGAGGAAAAAAGCCAGATCTTCAGTGTGTCTGCTTCACAAACTATATTTATAAAACTGAATTAATCAGTAACAAAACCAGTGATGCCTGGAGGGATTTGAGTAAGAAATCAGTTGTGGCATCTGCTGTACACGATTGCTTTATCGTCTTCAATTGAAACAGTGAACTTTGATCCTATGAGCTGTCATCACCAAAACATTGGATATTCTGCCCTGGTTTGTACACAGATCCAGCGTTATGGTAATGCAAGAAACATGCAATACTGAGTTGATTCTCTTTAGGTATCACAAATACAATAAACATAAAACTTCCTCAGTTTACTTTTCTAGCTCTAGTGTCAGAAAATATATTTGTTGGTAAATACGAGATGTCTGTTAAAACTGTTGGAATTACAAAACTGCAGACCAGGACCTGCACATAACTTTTGGGAGGGGTGCATTTTGGGTAACATGTTGTATTGCATTTCATAAAATCTTTCTTTCTTTTTAGGCATTCTTTCAAGGCAAATTGAAGGTTTCTGGGAACATGGGCTTGGCAATGAAACTTCAGAATCTACAACTTCAGCCAGGCAAAGCTAAACTTTGAGCTCATTAGTGTAAACAGTCAGTTCTTGATATTCTTGACAAAAAAGTAGAATGAAACTAGACCTTATCAATAATGTGGTGCAGGCTGGTTTTCATTGGACCTCTCTCACCTAAATTCTGTGGTTAGAGACCTTAATTCTCTTAATAAATTCCATCAGTTTGTCTGTGGCAAAGATTTTTAGGCTAAGCTTGAGGCACTATCTCTTACAAATGGTATATGTGACAACTTTTGTTTTAATCAATATGAAAAATTTTATAAAACTTAGAGTTGAGTGGAGCTGCTTACTGTTGTTCAGGTTAGCTGGGAAGAGAGTGAGGAAGGTTATAAATATTTTGACATATCAATTAAGTGAGATGCATTTTTTAAAAGCTGTAATAGCGGGTTATACAAATGCTTTCAGACTTCCATTCTAACAAATTTGCTGCTGCTTAAATTAAAATGGTCTTCTCCAGGGGATCTCTAACAACATTTTTTCAGAATAGGCTTTAGGAATTTGCTAATAAATGCTTTTCTTATTACTACTTTGGGATTAAAAAATAAACAAAATATCCAGAAGGAAGCAGGAACTAGAACATTGTTTTGAGATTCACAGGATTTGATAATATTTCACCTTGAAAAAAGATTAGGTTCACCAGGAGAGCAGAGAGGGAGTATAACCAACATTTTAGCTGTTTTCTCCTGAGAAAATCTGGTGTTGATCATTATGAAATTCTTATCAATAACTTAAAAGCTTTAACTTCTGTTTTGGGAAAATGTATTCTGGTTGGAAGTTTAATAGAAAATTAAATATACTTTTCCTGTTCTTCTGTGTGTCGATTCCTCGGATTTGTAAACATGGTTTTTGTGTTAATGCACTGAACTGACTATTTTATACAGATTGTCATGAAGGGCTCCTGCAGTCCTTCATTTTCTCTTCTTCAGGCGTTGTCAATAGATACTCGTAAACCACATCTCAGTCCAGTATATACACTTCACATCGCCACATATGTGGGCCATGACTGAGGAACTCTGCCGGTTTCAATTTTTTAATTTTAATTTTTTTTCCAGCTCACAAATTTGAGCCAGAAGTAGTATGTCTGTATCTGAAGTTCTTGGTGGATAGTCGTTCATGAGTTTGTCCAGTCCCTTTTTCAATCCTTGATACCTTTTTAGTATGGGTCAAGAATTTCTGTAGCTTACCTACACGTCATGTGGAATTAATTTTTAGTATTTGATCCTTTTTATCTTACACATTGCAGTTTTATTTTATACCTCTTAGTTGCTTTTTTTTTTTCTTTCCTGGAAGAAACAGTGAACAGCTTTGAAGTACTCCTTCACAACTTAGTTAAATAGAAAGTCCTCTTCTTTGTGTCATGTGGAGATGCCCTTGTAGCCTTTTGGCCATACATGTATCCTTCCTGTGTGCCACATTCCGACTGTCCCGTTAAAAAGCTTTTGGGATACAAGAGCATTTTGTGCTTTTATTTATTTTTTTCCCCAGTTGCTTATCTGAGCACTACTAGCTTTGAGCTGATGTTTCTTAGATCTCTGAAAACTGGGGACTCATTTCTTTCATATTAACGTGGTGCTTATTTCTGCTCTGAAGCTGAAACTTTTTTCAAATTATTGTTCTGTATGCATCACTTTATACTGAATATCAACTGTCTTGTTTTACTCTCCAGGCACTCAGTGTTCAGACCTGCCTGCAGCTTTTGTACTCAGCCCTGGTCTTTAATATCTGTATGAATCACATTTTATCACCCCACAGTTCATCTTCTTTTCCAAGGCATTAGTTTGGTGTTATGTAGGACAGATACAGCCTTGCTCCACTGTGAACTTCTTAAAATACAGTCTGGTCATATGAATTGGGTTTCCTCTTGTGTACTTTTTTATTGATTTACCCAAAGAATTGTAGTAGGTAGGAGTCATGTCTTTCAGATGAAAGCAGTGCCAGCTCTCTACAAAATAACATTTTCCAACATATCCACAGCTTTTTCCTAAATTCTTGCCATTTGGCTTGTGGGTTAAAATAAAGGGGAATTACAGGATTGCAGCCGTAATTCTGAACTGAAAACAATTTTTCCTCTGCAGAATTGCATATACACCCTTTCATTAACAAGGTTGGTCCTCCTTTTCAATCACTGATACTACCAGAAGAGCTTTGAGTAGATGTCTTTTATGCAGCTAAGAACATGCCGTTTCCAGGAATTCGGAGCACAAACACAACATATTTTTGGTCACTATTATTAAAGAAACAAATTAATTTCGAAGTGTAAACAAGCTAACATAGATCATAGTAAAGCCATACCAATAAAAGTAACATATGGTCACCTGAAGATTGAGATAATTTTTTAAGAGGGAGGAAGAAAAGTTGCACAGGAATATTTAAAAAAAAAAACAAAACTGCAAAAATAACTGGAGTTTGTTCACTACCAAGAGAAAGATTACACAAGTCTGCGAACCTGCTCTCAGAGAAATTTCCAGGCCTGTACAGGCCCAGGACTTTCAGGTTTGGCACTTGTAAATATGATGTCATTGTAACAGAAAAAATCCCAGATTAAATGTAGGTGTTTAGTTCACTTATCGATTGTAGCTAGGGGGAGTAATGCAGAGGTTAGCATAGCCTGCTTTCTCTGCTTGGAAGTAAGAGAACTAGTCAATGTTGTGTTTCTCCTTCTGCAGTATTTAAGAAGATGGAGTAAAGGATAAAGTATATTTAACCTATCTAGCAGTTAGATGTCTAAATAAGACATTGTCTTGTGTTACTTCCTTGCTTTCAGCACCTTGGTCATAACTCTGTGAGTATTTTTTAAATATAATACTTTTTCCAATTTTCCGTTTTCTGGGAGTGAGGTGTGTGTGGGGAGGTTCTTTTCTAAGCATCCCAAATCTTCTATTTACATTCTGCAGCCTTAGAATCTGATAATTTTGAATAAATAAATTCCACAGTGGACAGAAGTAATTTGCCCTGTTCGTCATGATGAGGAAACATGCAAAGCTGTGATACAGAGCAGATTTTGACATTAAGTTCTGTTACTAATTTTTTGTGTAACTCAAAGCATTACGTAAGTTTGTAGCATTTTAGAGATCTCTTCACAAAAGTTTTCTTTCTCGCTCCATAATACTCTCTTGACCAAGCAGCATTAAGCACCTCTTCCTCAGCTAAAATCCTCTGTAACTTTAGATCAGCCTTTCTTGTGAAGTTCCTGTGTTATTGCAATTCTGTGATGTTAACTTAATTCCTAGAAAGCAGAATTAGAAGGGTAGCTAGAGATACCAAGAGGTTGCCAGTCACTGAACATAGCAAATTTTAAATTTTTGGTTTCAAAGGCCTTGTGTAAAGAAAAAAGAAAAAAATCCTAATCCTCTAGGCAGAGGGTTTAGTGTTTCCAGAGTGCCAGTTAACATGAGGGGAAATTTCAACTTTAGATATGAAAGTGCTCAGGAGGATTGTTCTTCCTTCATGGACTTTGGTGAATACCCTTTGCAGCTGTTGGGTTGTTTTTGGTGTTTTGTTTTTTTGTTTTTTTTTACCAGCTGTGATAAGCCTCCTAATCATTTGACAAGCAGAGATGCTGTCAGGTTGGCAGGTATATCTTATCTTTACTTTGTTTTGTAAAATTAATGTAATTCTTTCAGATAGAAATTTTTATAATAAACAAAAAAAGTAAAATGCGTTTCATTGCTATAAGAGAAGCAAACCCATTTGTCAGAGTTGGAACCAATGAACAGAGCAATGCCTGACTCAGCAGATCTGGCTTGCAGGAATTTGAGTGAATGCTTTGGTTTTGGAGCAAAGATTTTATTTTTAAACTTTTACTTGAGTTTTGTGTTTCAGTCCTGCTGTTTTGCCTAGTCAGAAATAGGTACAATGCAGTACATTACGCTTAGCGACTTTACACCATATGTGTTTTCAAAAGTGATTGCTGCTTTTCTGACAATTAATTTGAGTCATTAGAAGAAAAGCCGAAAGTCAGAACATGGCTCTTTTCCTTCAGAAAATGTGCTACTTCAAGAAATCTCAGTTCCTATGTTGTTCAGGATAACAAATAGGAATTTGGTATGAAATTCTGAATTTGGGATATTTGCAAGAGAGCTCTCTGGATAAATGAGAGCATATCCATGGGCAGGTGAGGCAGTCTAGGGGAAGGCAGTTACTGCAGCTGTATGGGGTTGACCTTACCTCTTGAATAACTTCATGGGGGTGTGCGACACAGAGTGCCTTGTACAGGTGGTCAGAACTGCAAGTGTTAGAAGGGGAATGGAGAATCTGTCAGGTGGCTCATTGGGGCTTTATTTGTGTAAAGCAAGTCCTAGTAGAAGGTAATCTGGGATCGCTTTGGTAAGCAGCAGAGAGAGATTAGTTTGCTCAAGAGAGGAGGTTGTGAACAGCTGAGCACAGTTTGTGGCAGCTGGGTTAAGGAGCCAATCTTTTGGGTGACAGATCATTTCAGGATGCAGGAGGATGGGACAAAAGGACCTGACATCTTCCCTCCCACCATAGAAAAAAATTCAAATAATCACAAGGCTGGATTTGTCCGTTTCCCTTTGTCCAATTCATTTGAGGTCAGTCTAAACTGTTACCTCCTTGGAACAGGAAATACATCGCTTCCTGTTTTACAGAGCACTGAGCTGGATGTCAGCTCTCGTTAAACAGAAAAGAAGAAGAATGCAATTAGCCTGGTGGATAAAAGGCAGGAAAAAGTCTCTTAACTATGAAAAATCAACACTTGAGGAAGCAAACCACATGTGGAGAACAAATGCTGGAAAAAAACCCCAACTGTTTGGAACAAATTCCTTTATTACTTAAATAAACATCAGCGTAATTTGTTGGAGTGACAGCGTGAGCTGTTCTGTACCCTGTATCTGTAAGAATTCATTGCTAACTTAAAAGCAGATGGCTTTATATGGCCCTGGGTGGGTTCTCTGGGAAATGTTAGCTATATACTGTGATACAGGAACAGAAATATCCTTATAATGCTGCAGCAGGCTAAAAGGAACACGGATAGTATAAAACAAGTACAAAATATGGTGTGTCTGTATCCCATATTTCAGGTAGATTAAAAGCAGTCATGGATTTTTTTTTTTTTTTTTAAACAGTACATATCCTCTGGGAGAACAGACATCTTAAAGTTCATTCGGATCAAGACGCAGATGCCAGTAGGCTCATGGCCAGGCTCTGTTGTGCATTCTTAGGTTTGAAAAATACTTCCTTTCCTGCTTTAGAGACAAAAACCCCTTTTACTCTTTGTGTTTTGATTATTCATTTTTTGAAGCAAATGACGGCAAGTTACTTAAAAGAATTTTAATAGGCTTTTTTCTCTTCTTTCAAATAAAGGCTCAGTATCAGCACATAGCAGTGGACACTTCAGGAGTGCCAGTATTTCTGTAGAGTCCTTGGCCCTGGACGTGTCCTTATGCTGAGGTCTGCAAGAGTATCTTGGAAAAATAAGAGCTCCAAGTTGGTAAAGTCTGTCCTTAGTCACCACTGGGGCTTTCTTCTGCTGGAGCCAGTGCAGAAGGTTGGGTCTTGCACAGCGCACTGTGGGCCTGGCCCATTGCAAAAACACTGCGGTGTGCTGTGGCACATGCTGTCTCTCATAGCTGCCAGTTGGTCAATGAAGTGCCATAGCAGTTGTTTGCCCAAGGACCTGTTTCTCTGCCACGAAGAAGTGATTATACCAAAGTTTAAACTGAGTCTTCAGCTTCGGTTTTGAAACCTGAAAATGTTTCTTCATTTAGGCTGCAACCGCCATCAGCAGGGAACATGCAAGAGTACAAAGGCTCGAGTCTGAAAATGTTTCCTGCAGTTAATTCTATGTTGTGA